GAGTCTACTCTTCTGCAACCTTGAATATATTATTTGGAAGAACAGTATGCCAACTTACAGAGATGACCCCAAGGGAATAGACAACATTTTTTTCAATCTTTTTTTTCCTCTTGTAACCTGCAACCTGACCTGGGCGGATGTTCAAAGTGTATGAAACAGCCTTCTGACTTCAGAAGAACGTAGAATAGGGCAGGATAGAGCTCGGCAGGAGGCAGATGGATTTCTTATAGAAACCCCTGGCGACCCAGCTCAAGCGTAGCTGTGTGAATAACAGATGCCAGTGCTGGGATCTGAATGCTGGGATCTGAATGCTGGGAACAACCTGAACCATGAATGTTCTTGAGATTGCCTTCTTGCAGGGCTGTGAAGAGGGGGGAAAACAGAGACGCCTTAATGAAGTACAGACGGTAAGACAGACTGAATGAGGAGCCTTCAGAATTCTGGGCAGGGTCTGTCAAGCCTACTGGCAGTACAGATACAGACCACGAGGACCAGGGAATTGTTAAATGGTCCCTATGATGCACATTGGCCAGAACCACTCTGACAAACTGAAGAAGCTGCGAAAGATGGGAGGGGCTTTAAGGATGCCGGTGTCTCAACTTGTTGGAATGGCCTTAAGTTTGTAATCACGAGGACCAGTTTCAGAAGAAAAGGAAACCATGGAGAATGAAACAGGCTGTTGGGCTGGCGGCTGCCTGAACCCAGGGAAGAGTGGACTAAATGGAGGCCCCCACAGGGGACTCGGTAAAAGGTAGGAGGCCTCAAACCACCACTCGAATAGGGTACCCGATAGTGGGACCACACTAATGTGCATGCTGCAAGCAGAAGGGACCCTGGAATAGTGTTCTGAGTGCTGCTGAGTCATCACTGCCTCCCACATGGAGCCCTGGGAAATCACTACTTGGAAGTCAGGGAACTTGATTTTAAGTACCCAGCTTTCTAAACTTTCTTTTCAGGCTGTTAGTAGCAAGGGGTGTCTCAGGACCCTAGAGAAAAGCTTTTCTCCAGTAGGGGAAGAGCCCTTGATGGCTTTCTGTCTGTGCCTGACGGTCTCACTTCCCCTCTGAGATGAGACTGACTGAACTAAGTGCCAGGGTAGCCTCTGCACCTGACGCTGGGCGGACCTTAAAGCACCCCCAGAGTAGTCCTGCGACTTGCAGGCTGTAGTGCAGCGGTTCTGGGAGAGAGATCCCAGAGAGTGAGTCTGTGGGGTGGGTGGATGGGGGTGCTGGGAAGAGGGGAGATGGCCGCAGCTGTACAGCCAGACTCTGCAGGGGGCAGGCATCCAGACTTTGTGCAGTATCTGTGAAAAGGAGGAAGCAAGGCTGGGGGTGGACTCTTAACAGCCTTCCTCCAGTATGCCCCAGTAGGCTCCTGCTGGTCACTTTGTGATTGGCTGTGAACAGCTGAGTGTTTGTACCTGACTGCAGAGCACTTAGTAGGTTGTAGGAGTGCACTGCTGCCCCTAACCAGTCCTCTGCTCAAGACTTTGTCCAGGGACTCTTGTTGGGTGACTGTTTTGAACTTGAAGGAGGCCTTTTCTGCACAGCCTAGAGTTTTGAATCCCAAGTCTGCTTTTGAGTGGGAAGATGGAGATAAAGGAGTTAGACCACAGTACTGCTGGACAGCGCTTCCTTGGGGACTTACACGTTCACAATACTTGGAGAAGTCCTAGCCAGACTTGGGGGACCTTGAACTAAACAGGGAGACTCTGCTTCAGGACGTGATGATGCTCTGATCACCAGTGAGACAGAGGACACCTGAGACCAGGGTACAGGTTTGACTTCAGACTTCTTAACTGAACGAGGCTGTAAGGTATCTAGGAAGAAGGCAGACTCTCAGCCCTCTATTAAATATTTGGGGTTTTGAACGCAAGGACAGAGAGTTGCCCGCTGACTGGAGCTGGAGGGTGGAGGTAGAGCTCTAACCAGGAATGCAGTTGCCACCAGAAGACACTGGGAGGGGGGTGGGGTTGTCTTAGGAGTGACTGGACTCTGCCACATCTGGACCTTTGGACTCACAGAAAACCCTTCTAGGGACACTTTTAAAGGAGACAGGAGACCTCTAGGCTGGAATCTGGAAGATGAATATCTAGAAGACTGGCTCCATCCCTGCTGGACAGGCCCCCAGGAGAACTGGAATGGGAAATGGAAACCACGTTGCAGGAGAACCTCGACCAACGTTGCCCAAACCCTGCTTCCAGCCCCGCCCCTGACACTGGTTGCTTCCAGAGCAGAACAGCCCTGACAGATCTCAGGTTGCTTTTCAGAAACTGCCAAGAGGAGAAAAAAAAAAGCTGTGAGAAAGAAACCGAGGTGAGTGGGTGTGCTGCAATGGCGGCTTTGTTCAAGTCAGACCCTTCGGAAGGCAATGCAATGACTTGCTAGGTTATGAGGAGGATGTGTTCTTTCGGGAGTCCTTTGTTTCTAACCTCCTGGGCTTGGAAGGACTTCTGCTTTGGTATAAATAGCGAATGATGAGGATTTCTGCTACTTTGGTAAAAAGGTAATCGCTCTGGCAATGGCTCTATCTTACAAAACCTGTTTCTGTACCAGATCGTGGTGACCCCTTGTCTGTGCTGGTCAACTTTCTGACCACAGCTAACTTCACTGACTTCAGATGTAACCTATCAACTGCTCTGATCACCGGTCCCTTCCTTTCCCTGGATAAAACCCCTAAACATCCTGAATGTTAGCCATAGCTGGCACTCTGGGTGCCCCTTGAGGGTGCATCTTTGCAGTTTCAGTTCCCAGCCTTGGGTCTGCGGCTGCCTTGACAGCCAGTGCCCAGGAGGTGTGTGTTTGTCGGGGTCAGTGTTAATGTGAGACCAGAAGTATGAAAATACGCTCAGACGGATGCTGAGCAGTTTGACTCTTCGAGCCCTTGTTGGGTCTACTCCCCTTATGGCAGGAGGTAGCCAGAGCTGTCCTCACCCCTCTCCCCCAGAATGAGGCATGATCACAAGATGGTGAGGGAACTGAACCCAGAGCCTGTGGGCTATACCCATTCTACCTGCTGTCCCTAATCAAGGCTGCGCGGGCTTGCATGTCCTCCAAGCAGTTCAGAGCCTAATCAGTAAGCTGTTTATCTGAGTTGTCCTCAGTGTGGGCTGAGCTGGTTGAGATGGGATAGGACCACCAACCCCTCACCTGCGTTTGCATATGCACTGGTGACCTTGTGAACACACAGCGGCCTGGAGCCCAGGCACATCTGTGCACAAGGACGATTAGGCACCTTTTTAATCCCACTGCCCACATGGCCCTGGTCACCGCCCCATCAGTTCCTCAGCCCTGTGCCTCCTGGGAGGCAGACCTGAGATGTGTTCTCCAGTCTCCTCACGTGGCTGCCTCACCAGGAAGCCCCTTTGCTGGCCACCTTGGCATCTCCGCATCTTGGCTGGCTGTGCATCAGACAGAACGGACCTGGTCCACTAACAGGGATAGTAGTTCACTTGTAACATATTGTCTAGGAGGGCGCCTGCATGCTCCACCCCCAGACAGCCACTGATGGGCAACCCAGTGCAGCTGGGCTCAGCATCCTCAGAGACCTGGCCTTGCCGGTCAGTCCTGAAGACGACGTAACTCGTTATCAGAAGTGGCCAATCTTCCAGTTCGGAACTTGGAGGCAGGTCTGTCTTCCCTCCTGGCTGGAGCGCTTCCTGAGTGGGGGCAGAAGGTCAGGGAGGCCCAGGGCAGCAGGAATTCTGTGTGACCAGGATCCAGGGGGTGTGGACAGGCATCAGGAGTGCTTTACCAGACCCGGCTGTCCAGAGACAGTGGGATCTGAACTTGAAGGACAAGGGCCGAGTCCCCCGACTGCTGTGGGAAATGCCATCATTTGAGGGGCCAGGGGCTAGGGGGTGGCCCTGCACTGAGGGTGGGTGCTCTTCAGAGGACCCTGGGTGAGTGAGCAGACATCTCTCCTGGGCAGCTGCTGCCCACACAGGGGGCTTCCCGTGGACGCAGGCGCCCTCTTCTCTGTGCTCTGCAGATGCTGTTTCCTACTGATCGAAGGTTTGTGGCTAGCCTGCATTTGCTCACTCTGTCGTATTTTAGTTACTCTTGGGGTGTTTCAGGCTTTCATTATTTGATTTGTGACCCGTGATCTTACTGTTCTGACTTGGAAAGCCCAGGTACTGCTTAGCATTTTTTTAGCAGTGAGGTATTACCGTGTGTGCACTGTTCAGACATCAGTCTGTCCACATAACAGACCGAAGTGTGGTGTCAGCGAGCTTTATTTGCACTGGACACCAGCCAGCTCACATGACTCACGTTGTGGGATCAAGTCCCGGTGACAGAAGTGAACCCCAGTCCTCTCCCAGGCCTGCCTGTCACTCACCTCGGGGGAGCCTGTGGAGTTCTACAAGCAGCTCTGGGGAATCCAGGGGTACTGTGGGGCCCCCTGCACCATGGAGAAGGGACAGTCTGGGCCAGTGTGATGGTGACAAGCGGGCTGGCGCAGAGGAGGGTCACAGTCTCTCACGGACCAGACTCCAGTGGGGCTCCTCTGAGTGGCTCCCAGCGAGGTCCTGACTCCTCAGGCTTCAGGGTCTGTCTCTTTATTGTCCAATTTTAGCAAGATTCCCATTGAGTCAGATCAGCCAGAGCCCCCCAGGCTCAACATCTGACCAGACTGCTTGTTCCCCTACTCCCGATGATGAGGGCTAATCCCCTCCCTGCCTGCCCTCAGCGCGAATCCTGTACGGGGTTTAGTGGGGTCTTTCTGCTAGAGTCTGAGTGTGTATCTCCCCAAAACTGAAGTCGAATCCAAACACCCAGGGTGGTGGTATGGGCCACTGGAGGGTGACGAGGTCATGAGGGTGGAGCCCCCCATGAAGGGGAGCCAAGTGCCCCCAGCCCTTCGGCCACTTGCGGACACGGGAGGTGGCACGGTGTGTGAACTGGGAAGGGGCCTCACCAGACATCGAGTCTGCAGCGCATTGATCCTGAACATCTGTCCTCCAGACCCCAAGGACTCAGCTCGTGGTCCTGCTGTTACAGGAGCTCGACAGACACCCCCACCCCTGCTCTTTCCTCTCACCGACTTCCTGTCGGTGACCCCACCCTGCTCCTGGCTGTCACCCCCAGAGTGGGAGGTGAGCCTGACCTCGCCCCCACATCAGAATCCACGGCAAGAAGGAACCCCACTTGCCTGGGTCTTGTACTTCCTGACAAGCATCGGGGGTGGACGACGGGACCCAAGGATGGTGGGGCAGCATCTACACGTGTCTGCTCTCAGACCCGTGGCCCCTGACCTCACAGAGGAGAGTGTGGAGCTGAGATTTGCTGCGCTGTGTCCATGCTCGTCTCAGTTTTCACTTGTAGTGACTGTTAAAATATAGTAAACCTGTTACGTTTTGACATACCATTTCCTGTCTTATGAGAACTGCTTTCCAAAACCAGTTGTTCACTGATCATTCCTCTGCTTCAGTCTGTTGATGTCTTCTACTGTATTGATTTCAGTTACATTAACTTCACCTCTGGTGGGTTTTTGATATTTTCTAGCTGTTTAAAACTTCTGTCTTCTTACTCAGTTGATGCGTTCTTCTCCTTAGTTCTTCAGTCAGCTTTATGATCATCATCCTCAGGTAGATTCCCTGTCTTCAGGTTACTTCTAAGAAGAAGAACTGATTTCTTAATTTGCAACACATTCTTCTGTCTCCTCCTGTTGCCTGAATTGCTGCAGTTTGTGTCTGTGATGTTTGGCTCAGTTTCCCAAACCTGGACCAGTGGCCCCCTGTAGGAGACGCCGAACGTGTCTCAGAAGCATACTCCCCTCTTGTGAGCTCTGTGGCTCCCCCTGAGGGCTGCACAGGCCCTGTGCATGGCATTCACAGGCTGAATGCCCTGGGTGGGCTGGGAGGCGTGGCTGGCCCGCCCACCCGTTTGGTTGCCAGGCCCTGCCTTGCACAGAGGCTTCTGGATTCTGGCTGGAGGGGGCGGTCCTGAGAGGGTGGCTGCAGAATCATGGGGGCTCCCAGGGCTGTGGGCTAGTGTTGGCTCACAGGTGAGGCGAGTTGGGGGTCCAGGTAACCCTGGGGCTGTTCCCCACCCACCAGGTCCTGGAGCGAGTGCAGACCCACTGGCAGGAAGAGCCAGTCCTGGGGTCCGGCTGAGGTCCTCAGTTTGGTGGCGGGTGTCAGACTGCTGATGGGTGAAGTACAGGCATCCCGGAACTTCTGTTGGCCTGCTGATGAGTGGGCAGGGTCCTGTCTCAGCTGGCCGTAGTTGTCCTGGGGCTGGTGTCTGCCCACTGCTAGGTGAGGATGGCTTCAAGGCTAGAGCAGGGCTTGGTCTGGGGTCTCTGGCAGCAGGGCTCTGGGGGTCCGTGGGCTAGGGACTGTGCACTGCATGTGGATGAGGCCAGGTCCTGGGGCCTGTGGTGGGCAGGGCCAGGTCCAAGGCCATCTGCGGGCCTGGGGGGGAGCTTAAAGCAGCCTGTCTGGTGAGTGGGGCTAGTCCCTGCACAGTTGGTTGTGGAGCCTGAGGATACCTGTCATGGTGCCCACAGGCTGTTGGATAGGGGCAAGGCTGAGTCCTAAGGCTGACCAGCTAGAGGGAGGATCCCACAGGGGTGCTGGCCGGCACATGTCCTTGTGGTACAGTGAGATCCCAGATGTCTGCTGCCAGTGGCTATGAGCCCAGGACAGCCAGTCTCCTGAAGGTAAGCCCCATTGGACTTCAGAACCAAATTGTCTAGGGTCTTGTATTCCTGTTACAAGACCCCATTCTCAGGAGCCTGATAGGGGGCCCAGAACTCTTGCTCCTTGGGGAGAACCTCTGCAGTTGTAACTATTCTCCCATATGTGGGCTACCCACTCTGGGTTCAGTTCAGTTCAATCTCTCAGTCCTGTCTGACTCTTTGTGATGCCATAGGCCTCCCTGTCCAACACCACCTCCCAGAACTTGCTCAAACTCATGTCCATCGAGTCGGTGATGCCATCCAACCATCTCATCCACTGTCATCCCCTTCTCCTCCTGCCTTCAGTCTTTCCTAGCATCAGGGTCTTTTCCAGTGAGTCAGTTCTTCACATCAGGTGGCCAAAGTATTGGAGTTCCAGCTTCAGCATCAGTTCTTCTAATGAATATTCAGGACTGATCTCCTTTAGGATGGACTGGTTTGATCTTGCAGTCCAAGGGACTCTCAAGAGTCTTCTCCAGCACCGCGGTTCAAAAACATCAATTCTTTGGCACTCAGCTTTCTTTATAGTCCAAGTCTCACATCCATACATGACCACTGAAAAACCATAGCTTTGACTAGACCGACCTTTGTTGGCAAAGTAATGTCTCTGCTTTTTAATATGCTGTGTAGATTGGTCATAGCTTTTCTTCCAAGGAGCAAGTGTCTTTTAATTTTCACAGTTGCAGTCACCATCTGCAGTGATTTTGGAGCCCCCAAAAATAAAATCTGCCACTGTTTCCATTGTTTCCCTATCTGCCATGATCTTCGTTTTTTGAATGTTGAGTTTTAAGCCAGCATTCCTACTCTCCTCTTTGACTTTCATCAAAAGGCTCTTTTGATCTTCTTCTCTTTCTGCCATAAGGGTGGTGTCATCTGCACATGTGAGGTTATTGATACTTCTCCCGGCAATCTTGATTCTAGCTTGTGCTTCCTCCAGCCTGACATTTCTCATGATGTACTCTGAAGCAGAAGTAGATGCTTTCCTGGAATTTTCTTGCTTTTCCTATGATCCAGCAGATGTTGGTAATTTGACCTCTGGTTCCTCTGCCTTTTCTAAAACCAGCTTGAACATCTGGAAGTTCTTGGTTTATGTACTGTTGAAGCCTGGCTTGGAAAATTTTGAGCATTACTTTGCTAACATGTGAGATGCATGCAGTTGTGTGGTAGTTTGAACATTCTTTGGCATTGCCTTTGTTTGGGATTGGAATGAAAACACCTTTTCCAGTCCTGTGGCCACTGCTGAGTTTTCCAAATTTGCTGGCATATTGGGGGCAGCACTTTCACAGCATCATCTTTTAGGATTTGAAATAGCTCAACTGGAATTCCATCACCTCCACTAGCTTTGTTCATAGTGATGCTTCCTAAGGTCCACTTGACTTTACATTCCAGGATGTCTGGCTCTAGATGAGTAATCACACCATCATGGTTATCTGTCTCATGAAGATCTTTTTTGTGTATTTCTTCTGTGTATTCTTGCCACCTCCTCTTAATATCTTCTGCTTCTGTTAGGTCTATACTGTTTCTGTCCTTTATTGTGCCCATCTTTGCATGAAATATTTCCTTGGTATCTCTAATTTTCTGAAGAGATCTTCTGTTGTTTTCCTCTGTTTGCATTGATCACTTAGGAAGGCTTTCTTCTCTCTCCTTGATGTTCTTTGGGTTAGTGGTACCATATAGTATTTGTCTTTCTCTGACTTGTTTCTCTAAGCGTAATATTCTCTAGATCTATACATGTTGCTGCAGATGGCATTATTTCATTTTATTTTAGTCTTTTTTTCCACTGTCTGTATGTACCATATCTTCTTTATCCATTCTTCTGTTAATGGACACTTAGGTGCCCTCCATATCTTGGCTATATTGTAAATAGTGCACCTATGGATGATATCATGGTGCACATATGTTTTCAGATTAGTGTTTGTATGTGTTTTTTGGGTTTTTTTGTTTGTTTGTTTGTTTTCCCAAATGAGCCCAGGAGTAGAAATGCTGGGTCATGTGGTAGTTGCATTTTTGGCTTTTTAAGGAACCTCCATGCTGGTTTACATAGTGGCTACACCATTTTACATTCTCATGAAAAGAGTACAAGAATTCCCTATTCTCTGCATCTTCCCTAACATTTATTATTTGTATGCTTTTTGATGGTGGCCATTCTGACTGATTTGGGATAATACCTCATTGTAGTTTTGATTTGCATTTCTCCGTTAATTACCAATGCTGAGCCTCTCTGCATGTGCCTCTTTGCCATCTGTGTGTCTTCTTTGGAAAAAAAGTCTATTGGACTCTTCTGCTCATTTTTTTGACTGGATTTTTTTTTTTTTGATACGCAGTTGTACCAAAATTGTTGGTACATTTTAGATACTAACTTCTTGCTGATCATGCCATTTGCAAATAGTACTTTCCATTAGCATTTTTTGTTGTTGTTGATGGCTTTTGTGCAAAAGCTTTTATGTGTAATTTAGTCTCATTTTTTAATTTGTCATGTTTAATTTATTTTGCATTAAGCGACTGAATCAAGAAATGGTGCCACCATTTATGTCAGAGGTTCCTATGTTCTTTATATGAGTTCTGTGTTTTTATGTCTTACATTTAGATTTAAAATCATTTTAATAATTTGAGTTTAGAATGTTCTGTTACTTCACATAGTAGAATAATCTTTTACATGTGGCCTTCCAGCTTTCTCAGAACCACTTGTTGAAGAGATGGTCTTTTCTCCATTGTATAGTCTTGCTTCCTTTGTAGATTATTTGACTGTAAGTATGTCAGTTTATTCCTGGGCTCTATACTCTGTGACATTGCTGTATGTCTATTTTCCTACCAGTAGAACACTGGTTTGATTACCCAGCTTCATAGTATAGACAGAAGTCTGGGAGTATCATACTTCCAGCTTTGCTCTCTTTTTTTAAGATTGCTTTGGGAATTGGAGTGTTTTATAGCTCTCTGTCAGTTTTGGATTATTTCTAGTTCTGTGGATAATATTCTCACAGTTTGATAGGGATTGACTTAAATGTATAGATTGATTTAGGTATTAGGCCATTTTAATATTCTTCCAATCCAAGAGTATGGGGTATCTTTCCATTTCTTTTAATCGTCTTTTATATCTTTTAACAATGTTTTATATTGTTCTTAGAATATAGTCTTTTCAGTGCCTTAGTTAAGTTTATTCATAGGGTTTTTTTTCTTAATGTGACTTTAAACGGGATTGGCGGTAGTGGTTTTCTTTTTAACTTTCCCATTCTGATATTTCATTATTAGTATATAGGAGTGCAACCTATTTCTGTATATTAACAAGCTTGCTGAATTCATTAGTTCTCATAGTTTTTAGGTGGAGACTTTAGTGTTGCAGGAAGGGGGACCCCTTCCAGGGCCTGAAATTGGGTTCTTGTCTAACACTTGGAAATGAATGAGACACGTATGCTG